ACCCTTCTAGGGTAGGTCCAAGACCAAGTAGCGTCGGCTATGCCTACAAGCTATGTGTCTGTACCAGACGAAGAAGCTAGGCCTCATCGACTTAGAGTGGAAGTTAAGGACTACTTCGGTAAGGAGGGTGAGAACCTCATCCTCTGGATCCGTGAGATTTGGATGTCCATGAGATCAGGCATGATCAATCACGACCATCAACAGTTCTCGCTGGCTATCTCAAAGCTCGATGGGAGAGCTAGAGAATGGGCCTTGACGTCTAGCACGTCGGTCGACATAGCGTTTCCCACATGGGAGTCGCTCAAGTCACAATTGTTACAGGTGTTCTAACCACCTAACCAAGCTTACCGCGTGAGTTCACGCTTTTTGTTTACTCTTCAGGGTAAGAATGAGTTATCGGGCTATGTCCAAGAGTAGAAAACTCGCATGGCTGCAATGCAGTCTGACCCTCTGTCTGATGCAGTTCATGTGACTATCTTCATGGAAGTTCTTCGTACTGGCATTGCCAGAACCGAAGATTTTCGGGTTCACCCGTCTACGTTCGAAGAGGTTGTGAGAATAGCTATAAATGCTGAGCATAACTTCAAGTCGGACAGGCTTGGCTGGAATGCGTACAACCCAAGCTCTGCGAGAGCAAATTCCACAAGTGGTCCGGCCTTTAACAGACCGGAACCAATGGATATCAGCTATGCTGAAGATAAAGGTGAAGTTGATCTTCAAGCTGCTGAGCAACAACGCGTCGTAAGATGATGTTTTACGTGCGGAAGCACTAAACACTTGCGTCCTGGTTTATCTTTGCGTAAACTGCGTCAGGCTACAAGCCAACAATCCACCCCGAGCCAGAAGTCTGGCATGGCACGGGGAAATGCCGACACCCAGTAGGCGTGGGCGCCCTACTGGGGAAGAACCGGTTATGTTACACATTTAGGAGGTAAAGGAATGCAGGGCTTAACCCCAAAGCGCTCCGTACCTATTTGTAATGAGCGTGAACACAAGTATGGCTTGTTAGTCGCCGAGCCGAAAATCAAGGGATTTGAGAGGCCTTGGTCGATGTTGATCGACTCTGGATCGTCTTGCAATTATGCTCGACGTCGTTCCCTTGAGGGAAGTCAACTATATGCTGAGGCGCTTACAGCGCATGATGATGATTCTTTCGCGGTTCGTTTAGCGACTGGAAGTCGTGTTACTGTGCCTAAAGTTCCGTTGAACTTAGAGATACAGTTGATAGACTTTGACAGCAATGAACGCTGTATTGTCCTTACTTTGGACTCGAGAAATGATCTCATCCTTGGAATGGCTTGGCTTGAACGCCATGAGCTATGCATTGATTGGAGATTCAAGACATCAGGCGCCACGCGCAACGTTTCTAGTAAAGTTTTGGAGAGACATGAACCATCCTTCGATAGGCACGAGAAACACTACTGGCGCGAGCTTTAGGCAGAAGATGTCAATGTTCTGGACATTGGAATGTCTGAGTTGCCCAACTACAATGTTGTAAACATAGGTTCCGAGCTTAGCTCGTCTAAAAATAGTGAAACGGCACGTACTCCGTTAAGTGTTACTCGTTTTGATAACGAGTCAATGCATGCTGATAGCATGGTTGGCCTAGGGCCAGATTATCAAGGATGTTATTCCTTTGATGTGTGTGAGGTAGCAAGTGAAAATGCACCGAGTGTGGGTGGCCGTGAGAGGACCATAAGTAATGTCGGTAATTACATTGTTGACGAAACGCCGTTCAGTTCGGGGCTCGGCACGCACACTGTACGTGGAGTGGTACGTGAAAATCCACTAGGCAAAGTGTTCGAGTTATGTTACACTTCACCAGTGTCGGTCAAGACATCGGCTCTCGTGTAGAGCGCACTACTGTTAGTATTTATAAAGGGGAAAGTAGTGTCCCGACCCCTATGGGGTGTAAGGTCTCCAAGAGACGACTTGGACGTCAGGTGGCAACTGTTAAGAGCCAGGCGTGTTCACATCACTGAGTGATAATAGTAATACACTATATACGCTTGTGAATGGAGTGACCGGTCAGGTTGATGGCAACGTTAGCCTTTTATACCCTTCCTTTTTTGTTGCTCTGTGTAAGCTAGAAAAAATGTCTGATGGCGAGTTTAGCCAGGTTTTTAAGACAGGAGAGTTATCCGAGTTAGCGGTCATTAGACCTGATGCTGAGTCGAATTCTTCCTCGATAATGGGAGAGCCTGTCCTGGAGGATACAAAGGCGGCACTTAGTGCACGAAGCGGATCTTCAATCCTTAAAGTTTCTTTGGATCCGTTCTATCCTCTGTTTAAGGAATTTCAAGATGTGGTATGTTACAACCCACCATCTGTCTTACCACCTGATAGAGGTGTACGTCATAAAATTGACTAAGTTTTAGGAACTAAATAATGCGTAACACGGCAGTGGCCGTTGCCTAAGGAACAGTGTGACGTCACTGACGAGTTATTTTGTGCTAAGCACGCGGCTAGAATGGTGCGTGAGAGTAATCTCCCCATTCAACACCGACATTTTGGGTCAAGAAGCCAAATGGCAAGTGGCGCATTGTGCATGCTTACAATAAGCTTAAAGCAGCAACTATACCGGCGGAGACGCCTATTTCTAGAAAGGATGTTCTTTAGAACAATATGGTAGGATGTAGATTGTACAGTGCACTCGACTTAGTCTATGGTTATTACCAGCTGCTTATGCGAGCAAGCAATATTCCGCTAACAGCGGTGAGTACTCCGAGCGGCATGCTCTCGGAGTGGCTCGTTATGCCACAAGGGCTATCTAACGCCCCGGCTAATTTTCACCGACTGGGGACGCAAATGCTCAGACCTCATCGAGATCACGCACAGACGTACTTTGACGACATCTTCGTCCTTAGTCGTGCAATGAATGGTCGATCAGATGTGGATAAACACATTGATCATTTACGAATGGTGCTCGAGTGCATGCTCACGAGTAAATTGTACGCTAATGCGTCCAAGAGTATCTTTAGTGCAGAAGACATTACCTTTCTAGGGTGTTTTGTTCGGAAGCGAGGCCTTCAAACGGACTTCGCTAAGGTAAAGGCCATAGTCGATTGGTTAATTCCTCAGAATAAAAAGGACTCATTTAAGTGGCTTGGCCTTGCCAATAACTTGCATAAGTATATTGCAAATCACGCAGACATGGCTAGGCCATTATCCAATCTCCTGAAAAGAGGATGTGGATTGGTGTTGGGGTCATACCGAGAACAACTCAATTAAAGCGGTTAAGGAGAGTCTTCTTTATGCGTTAATATTGTCTTTGCCCAATCCTGATCGGCCCTTTAGTGTCGTATGTGATGCATCTGACTTTGCCATTGGCAGTGCTCGGTTACAAACACATGTTGATGGACGCGAGCGCGTCATTGCGTTCGATTCTCGCCAGCTGAAAGCTGCTGAAAAGAACTACCCAGTTCTTGAAAAAGACTTTCTTGCTAAGAAATATGCTCCAGTCAAATTCAGAGTACATCTGCTTGGCTCAAAGCCATATGTGATCTATAGAGGTCATGCGTCATTACGCACTGCGACACAGTCGCCACATCTCTCTCCGAGAATGGCTCGTTGGCTTTCCTTCGTTGCCGAATAAAACTTCGAGGTGAAGTACAAGCCAGGTGAGCAAAATGCTTTGGCTGATGCGCTATCGCGCCGACCTGACTATGAGCTTGCTCATGTTACGACACTGTCGTCATCAGTCCTTGACTTAATCCGTGCAGCGTATGCCAAGGATGATCAGTGTGTAGCTTTGCTACGGGCTCTTGGGAGCGAGGAGTTTAAAGTCTCGGACAAAGGATTGTCGGCACGTTTACGTGCAAGGCTACATCGGTATTCTACGATAGTGACCTGTTGAGCTATCGCACGAATATTGAGGATACCTCTCGTGTTGCTGTCCCTCATGATTGGAAGATAAAATATCGAATCCTCTTTGAGGCACATTGATACCGCGTCAAGTGTTCATCTCGGTCTTGAAAAGACCTATGGCTCAGCGAGCCAGAATTATTGGTGGCCTAAGGTGTACAATTTGGTGAGCATCTACGTTCGTACGTGCGAAAACGTTCAAAGAGTTAAACCCAGCACATGCGGCTGTGACGCTGGCTAGTTTGCCTGTACCCATTAAGTGTCGGGAATTCATGAGTATGGATTTTGTGTTCGGACTACCGAAGGATTCGAAAGGCAACACCGGTATTGTGGTCTTTGTTGACCGTTTGAGCCTTCTCACTTAGCGGCTGTGCCGGACGCGATCGATGCTGAAGGCACAGCAAAAGAGTTTATCGATCGTGTGTTTCTACAACATGATTTGAATGTGGCAATTGTCTCTGATAGAGATCCCCGCTTTAGAAGGAAGTCCTGGCAGTTGTTCTATAAGGTGATCGGCACCCGATTAAAATGTACACGGTGGATCATCCGCAGACCGATGGTAAACTGAACGTGTTGATCGCGTCATTAACGACTTTTTGCGCAGTGTTTGCACTGATACGCCACGGCGTTGGAGCTCAATGCTCCCTGTTGTTGAATTTGCATTGAACAACGCTGTCCATGCCTCCACAGGCTTTACTCCGCTTACGTAACCGGTCTTACCCACCCTCGCGTTCCGTTAGCGCTATCACTACGTGAATCACGGCTTGGTGGGGGAGAGGTTGTAGATCGGCTTGCTGATATCAGTCCTGCTACTGTTCAAAAACAGGTAGGCGAGTTTCTCGCAACGCGATTGAATGTCTAGCGACATGTGTGTGACGCTATGGCGGATAGCCAAGATACCTAATAACAACAAGCTGATGCCAAAGGCGGAAATTGTATTAAACGTTATGAGGTCGGAGACCAAGTACGACTCAATGCTAAAAACCTACCAACAAATGTAGTGTCTGCTGTCTTTAAGACAAAGTTGCGTCCACGCTTTATTGGACCGTTTACGGTCACGGCCAAGAAGGGCCTTGCATATACGCTAAACCTCCCGCGCAAATTGCGCACACATCCAGTGTTCTACGTAGGCTTACTTAAGTCGTACCGGGATCCTTCCCATGTGAACTTGGAGGCGCTTGCGCCGACGACGAGGGCGGTACCCGGATTGCTGTAGACGAATCAGCAATTCCAACTGAGCCTCGCTCCGAGTTTGAGCTTGCTCCATCGCCTGAAGGCAGCTCTGCGTTTCTCCCAGCATGCACTGGACTTACCCAAGGCCTCTTGAAGACCCTTCACTTCGAGAACCAATTTCTCGTGGGCCTCCACCGGTACACCGGCCGCCACCGACTTTGCTCGATGAGCATGGGTGTCGTCAATTTCATGTCGAGAGACTACTGAAACGACGTCGTCGTCAGGGCCAGTATCAGTCAGTACCTGGTAAAGTGGCGTGGGTATTCTGAGTCTGAAAACTCATGGGAATTTGATGAACCCTTTTGGCAAGACTGCCCATATGCTTTGGAGGCTTTTGAGCATCGTGGCCATGGTCATCTCGAGACCGAGGCCGTTCCCCACCACTAGTGGTGCGGGTTAGCGGGTTTTTGGCCACAGGCTGACCAGCACTCGCGGCTACCTTAGTAGCCGAAGCATAGCGCGTGCGCTTGCGCAATTGGCCTCTGGCCTTAAGCTTGGCATGATCATACCGAAGATTGCGTTCGAGACGCACATCCGCCGCATGGGCACTAGCCCTTTGAGCAAAAATGTTGCTGAGGCGACGCACATAGTGCACCCAGTGAGCGAAGGCATCGTCTTCTTCGCTCACTGTTTCGCCTGCGAGCAATAGAATGGGTATACCCTCGATCGGTGGAACCGGTGCACCACGTGCTTGCATGTCAAGGCGTGCCTTGTATTGACTTTGAGTCGTTAGGTGCGGCTCCAGGTACCTCTCACGAAGTGCCTGGCATCTCACCATCTTCTAACGAGTGTTAGGTCCAGGGTTAATGACCCACGTTGCCAATGTTTGGCCGGTCGCTTGACGTAGACGTTCCTCCACACTAGGTGAGATGAACTCATAGTCACGATGGCGTTTAAGGGTTGCAGCCATTTGTACATAACGTTGAGCGTTTTCTTCTCTTTGAACAAGCAGTTGTTGTTGCTCATCGAGCGGGTTCGTGATGATAGTTTCATCAGACCCGGATGCTGCATGCTGCGCTGGTGGCGCGCTCGCACCTCCACGTTCAGCGAGCGGATTTGGAGTGTTCAATGGTTGTGTCTCAGGCCTCAGTGAGCCGGAAATTGTCCCTGTATCACCTCGGACACTGGTATCGCTACCACAGTCCACATCCTCCTCTATTTCGAGGTATTTTTACAGAGCGTTTGACTCGTTTGGTGATGAGGGCATCGTGCTAGAGCGTACGTTACCGTGAGGTTCACCGAATGCGCACTGTTCTCGCTGAGAACACAAGTTCGATTGACGTTTTGACAAACGTCAGTCTGGTGGGGGAGGGTGTAACGGGGTTGCACGAAATTATGGTACTTTGTACTAAAGGTGTTACACACCTGAGGTTACCCCTGTGTGAAGGTGATATAGAATATCTTATTGGTTTGTAGGGGCTGACGAATGTCAGCCATTAGGTACGAAAGATCTTTGAGTAGGATTAAGATATTCTAAAAAGCGTTAACAAAAATTAAATCAGTTCCCATTTTGATCTAAAGGACACGTGGCTTGCGAGCCGTCTTGATCGTCGATCACTGATCACTAAGAGTTAGCAACTCCTCTTTGAGGTAGCTACTCTTGAGCACTGAGTGCTGTCGATTCGCTGAATCGTTAGGTCCCCTGGAACAGAGATTTAAAGCTGTAAAGCTTGTTGACTCGTAAAGTCGTCAGTTCTTTGGAACTAAGTTGCTCGTTGAGCGTTAAGTCTTCCTCTGACTTAAGGAGCTGTGTAGCTCCGCTACAAATGTAATATGTGCCGTAGCTCATTTCACAGTGCATTGCATGTTGGTAGGTAACGAAAGTAAAATGACTGATCCATACAGCTTACCAAGTACTCAGCTTGGTCTGAAAGTGTCGAAGCCATCGAAATTGACAGCATGAATGGGCGCGCCGTCGAGCACAGGCGTCACAGTCTACTACACTATTTAAAGGACTTAGCTTGCATGTAACGGGGCACCCTGAAGCTTGTACTGGTGACAGTACAAGCTACTTATTCTGATGACAGAATAAGGCGGTGCCTCGTAACTTCACGTACACTCGTACGTGCAGAGGAAGACGGTAAGAAGAAGCGAGTACTTGGTTAGAGTAAAAAGTAGAACTGTATTTATAATAGTTAATGTCTGCAATAAATCACTATTTATCTTCATCTAACTATGTCTAAATACAAATGTGTAAATCAACTATCTGCTCACCACTCATTGCGTGCGTCTGTCGTGGCGCGTCTTCGTTGGTTGATATAATGGCCTATATCAACCAATTAGGAACTACTCGTAAGTGCTACAGAATATTTGTCCTTATGACAATATTCTGAGAATATAACTCTTCTAGTTTTATTCTAATAACAATTTCTTATAAATTGTTATGTAACGATTCACCCCGTTACATCACCCCCCTAAACCATCAGTCACTTTAGTGACTGATTGACTAAATGGATACTCGTCCCAAATCATCTGGGAAAGGGTTTGCACTTGTTGGTCCGAGTCCACTTTCCAACATCTCATCGCATGGTTAGCAAGCCCATGCGGTGCGCGAGCAAGGCCGCCGAGAGCGCGTCCGCACGTCTCTGTGCGGACGCCGAAGCAGAAACCGCAGCAACTGATGTCTCATCGGTTGCTGAAGCGACTCAGCCTGTGTCACCTGGTGATGCAGGCGCTCGTCATGAAGACACGCATGTCTTCACAGAGTACGAGCTCGGTGTCTCATACTCTCCTGATACGGAAGACGGATCCGTATCGACGGCGATTGAATTTAAGCCGCCTGCCAAGCGTGGCATGGATGATGCTATGCGTCGCAGCATCTTTGGTTCATCTGATGAATCATATGAACCATCGCCGAAGCGAAGGCGCTCGAGGTCGCGAGAGTCGGGCGCTCACAGTGGTTTCGGTTCTCCTATGGACACCACTTCGCAACGAGGTGCCAGTCCTTCTGTCGGCACATCGCAGGATGAGCGGGATCGCAATGTCTTGCGTCTCGCTCCCGAGAAGAAGGCATGGATGCCTCCTTAATCTGTCATGGATCACTTGTGCGCGACGTCGAGTGATCGCTATCGAACACGATTGTTCGATTCATCAAGGATCCACCACCTTCATCCCAGTGCGAAAAACCATCGCACTGAACATGATTTCTTCATCGATGCTTTCTTTAGACATCGATGGTACAGTGGGAATCACAAACGTGATGGTCCCTCACTGCTTCAGGCGTGGAACGCCTACATCCATAACCTTGAGGATGTAGGTCGTGACGTTTGGAACGACAAACTTATCAAAGCTCGTGATAAGTTTGAAAAGCGAACCAGGACAGGTGCACGCTACAAGCTGCATCGTCTGTCAAGGGAGAAAGGATTACCCTGCCTTTCTTGGGGAGACTCGTGCCCATGTTGTGTGAACAACTCTGCGCGAGCACCTAAGGAGGCTTACCTCCTTACTAGCCCGTGGTGGCGCGTACGTATCTCTACTGAGATGTACGAAGGGATTGACAACCTGAAATCCCTTTACGACCGTGCCGGGAAGACTTTCTCCGGCGGTCCTTCTGCGGCACAGGATGTGCCGCGTCGTACTGCTCAACCAAACCCAGTACGTTGATCATCAGTTGGGAGCGGGGCTCCCAAGAATCCCAGGACGGGGGATAGCCGCGCCACCGGACGAGATAACTCGTCCGACGTCCGTTCACGTCGCGGTGGTTCAACAGCTGCTCAACTAGATAGCGCTGGCCACCGCGAGAGTCCTCTAATGGAGGTGGAGGAGGAGGAAAGACGCTCTCCACACGATCATGTGGATCGGTGTGTTCCCGAGAGCTTCTTTGATCGCGTAACGCAAGGGTTACGCGACGATCTCGAACATGAGCGGAATAGGCGTCTCCAAATGGCGGGCACTGCCTCGAAGCATCGAGCTGAGTTTGCCTTTGCTCAGCTCGAGAACGAGAGATCTCTGACATCTCTTCGTGACGAGCTAAGGGTAGCTCGTGGGATTGTTGATCGGTCTCGGGATGAGACAGCTGCTCTTCAGACCCTTGTTGATGCCCACCATCGGTAGCACAAGGCTCTCTGCGAGATGCTTGAGCGCAAGGGCGTTCTTCATCGGAAGAAGCAGCGTACTGATGGTACGGCTTAAGCCGACCAACGTAAAACGTGGGATGCGTTCGCATCTTACGTGGCAACTCGATCGTGTAAGCATTGCCTAGGCGGTGCAATACACGAAATGGGCCGATGTACTTGGGTAGTAGTTTACTGCTACCCAAGTTAGTCACTACATGCTTTGGTAGATTAACCGTAGACAGTAGGACTAAGTCACCTTTATTAAATAAAAGAGTGTTTTCCCTTCCATTCTTGTCAGCGTTTTGCTTTTGCTTATCCACCGCTTCGGCGATGGAGTCTTGCACAAAACGGACTACCGTTTCACGAGCCAGTATGAACTCATCTGATGACTCGTTAGCTTCAGTGTGCTGTGAGCGCACTGCAGCAACATCAACCTTTTCTTCAGTGAGGGCTTCCGCACTCTCACTGGGATCATCTTCTTCAGTGAGGGCTTCCGCACTCTCACTGGCATCATCTTCTTCGATATCGATGTTATCGATATCGGCATCAAACGCAATGACTTCTTCGTCAGAGCGTGATGAGCGTGAACTAAATCGGTTTTTGCTCGCGCGAGTCCCTCCCCCCTTAAACCAGAGGTACACTCTAGTAAGATGGGTACACGCGGATGGCGCAAGCCATTCACGTAAAACGGTGTATGTGTCGTGGACGCATGCACCGAGTTGTTGATGGCAAACTCTATTATTGGCAAAAACTCACTCCAACTCTTAAAGGAATGTACGTATCCTCGAAGTATCTCTTCAAGGACACGATTGGCACGTTCCGTCTGACCATCTGACTCTGGATGATCAGATGTTGACATCTTCAAGCGCGTTCCGAGTGATTTGAACACGGAACGCCAGAAATCAGCAGTGAATCGTGGATCTCTGTCTGATACGAGTTCACGGGGCAACCCATGAAGTCGGAAGATGGTGTCAATAAAGACACAAGCACAGCCACTTGCCGTGATTGTCTCTGGTACAGCCACAAGGTGTACCATTTTGCTGAATCTGTCAACAAATACGAGAATACCCGTATTCCCGCGTGCGTCTTTGGGTAACCCAAAGACGAAATCCATCGAGATGGATTCCCAGCACTCAGCCGGAACCGGTAGAGGCTGTAAAGGTGCACGCAGTGAAGGACTTAACTTCACTCGTTGACAGACTTCGCATGCGCGAACATACTTTCGCACAAACTGATACTGGCGGGGCCAGTAAAAGTCTCGACTTACCGTGAGATATGTTTTCTCTCGGCCACGATGTCCTCCTATAGGAGCATCGTGATACTCGAACATGATCCGCAAACGCAGATCAGTATCATCTGGAATGACAACACGTGGTGTGTCACCAGAAACGGCTGTATAATACAGTAAACCGTTACGAGTAGTGTATCGATCTGATGCAGATCGATACGCAGACGACAATCGTTTCAACGATTCTCGAGATGGTTGGGAGAGATGTGTCAACAACTTCACTATCTCACCATCTTGGGCGTATGCCCGCCTCACATCATCATACAACGTTGTAGATGGGACTGAGGACGTCATAACCGCAACAGTGACTGTCTCACTGTTGGGTTTCGCGACTGTTTCAAAGTCGGGACGACGTGAGAGTGCATCAGCGACGACATTAAGTCGTCCTGGTTTGTACTCGACCGTAAAGTTGTATTCCGCAAAGAATGACAACCACCGCGCCATTCGTTGTGAAAGGTGCGGGCTGTTCACTGCCGTGCGTAATGACGCATGGTCAGTGTAAACAACGAAGGGTCTATCTCCTAATAGATAGACTCTGAACTTCGCGAGTGCATACTTCATGGCAAGGAGTTCCTTGTCATGCACTGGATAGTTCCGCTCAGCTGGTTGCAGCTGACGCGACTGATAGCAGACGACGCGTTCAACGCCTTCAAGGTCGTACTGCATTAATGCACAGCCGATTGCGAAATCGCTGGCATCACAGACCACATGAAATGGCCTGTCCTGATCGGCTATTGCTAGGACTGGGGATTGTATCAAGCTCTGCTTGATACCCTCAAAGGAGCGTTGACATTCAGCGTTCCATAACCACCTCTCGTTCTTTTTCAACAAACGAGAGAGGTGCACAGTCATTTCGGCGTAATTGCGTGAATACTTATGCAAATAAGCCGCTAGCCCAAGGAATTTTCGAAGACCTTTGACATCAACCGGCACGGGCCAGTCGGTGATCGCCTTGATCTTTTCGGGATCAGGACGTACACCGTTCTTACCAACGATGCACCCAAGAAGTGGTATTTCGCTTGCTGCAAATATACACTTCTTGAGGTTTGCATACAATTGATGCTTTCGCATGATTGTAAGAACTTGTCGGACGTGGTACCTGTGAACCTCAACGTCCGACTTTCCATCCATAGCTCGACTATGGATGAATACGTCATCGAAATAACTCGGCGCGAATTCTCGTACTGGTCTCAACAGATGTGATACACATCTGTTGAACGTGGCAGGGGCATTACTGAGCCCTTGTGGCATTACTAGCCATTCCCAGAGCATGCCGCTAGGCGTGCTAACTGCGGTATAGGGTATATCCCGTTCCCGCATAAGAATTTGATAGAAGCCATCCATCAAATCCATGGACGAAAATATGGTACTCTTTGACATACCATCAATGATTACGTCCTTCCTCGGTATCGGCGTCTGAGCCGGTACCGTTGCAGCGTTCAATTTGTTGAACGCGTGCACTATCCGCCACCCTCCTGTTGCTTTTCGCACACAGAAGGTCGGAGAGCTATGTGGGGAAGTTGATTCCCTCACATGGCCCGCAGCTAAACGATCGGCAAAGAACTTGTCGATCGCAAGTACTTGCTCACGAGGTAGTGGCCACTGCTTCATGACACAGTACTTCAAGCCTGGTTAAAGCTCGACCTCGTGTCGAATACCTTTATCCTTCGGTAATTCGCACGGAACAGTTTCAGGGAATACATCCTTGAATTCAACCAAATCTTCATAGAGAGGATTTGTCTTGAGCGATTCCCACGATTGGGAGTCATATCGCTCAACTCGTGTCTTTTCATCCAGGAAACTCTCGTACATCGATGAACTACTGATAACTCTCTCGTTCTCAGTAAACACTGTTGCTGACCTTATGTCGGCTACACACTCGTCGTCAGCGACGAGTATGCAGATCTGCTTGACTTTGCCACTACGCAGATCACGCAAGAACCTTTTATGTTCGAGCGTTGGCAACTGAGTGATCTCCGAAGTTAACTTCGGAGGCGCAATCAGATCAAGTGTATAAGCGCCTACACTTGATCCGTTATTGACTATGACATTCAATGTCTCTGTCATTTCCTGGGGACTTATTCCCTCAGGCTTCGAAGGACTTATTCCTTCGTCTTCCCGGGGACTTATTCCCGCGGGTTTCGGGGAACTTATTTCCACCGTATTTGTAATCTTGGGACTTATTCCCTTTACTTCCTCTAGCTGGGGTTGCGCAACCACAGCGAGATCCTCTACGAAAGACTCTCCAGTCGATCTAGGATTATCGTTTCGCTTAACCTGAGCGATCGATTGTTTCTCTTCTAGATGTTCCCCGCTAGGGATACATCTTTGTCCCAGTCCACCCGACTTATTCGAGTGGTGGACCTTCGGCGCAGCCTGTGTTTCCTCACAGCCGCCGGAACTTTGCTCCGAAGTGTAACCGTTTGGTACACTAAGGTTTTGTGCAGTCGTACTAACGACCGTACCACAAGTGAGGCCATCGCACTCACTCGTAGTACATCCACACGCTTGTGGACGCTCCAAAACGTTCATCAGATGGCCATCTGATGAACAAGCGGCAGGCATCGTTACTGTCCGATGTTGCCAGTTTACCCGTGGTTCGTACCTTCTGAGCCACGGTATTCCAAGGATGACATCAAATTTGTCATCCAAATCCAATACGATGAAGTCATCGTCATATTGGGTATCTTCTAGCGTATAGTGGATCTTCACTATACGCTTCATGACGGTTACGGATGCGCCTGTCGCAAGACGTACCGTCATCCTCGTAGGAGGTGTGTCACATTCACTGAATTTAAAGTGACCATCTTCTAGCGATTGGCGTCGCACAAAATTGTTGGACGCCCCACAATCGACTAGAGCTCGAAGGGACAACTTATTCGTCACTTCGAGTTTCAAGGTAATGAGTGAGATCTCATTACCTAGAGCAGCAACGCACAACGTTTTTGCGTTGGGAGCAACCTTCATCAAGAGGCCTACAAATTCTCTTGACGTTGCTGGACCAGTAGGGTGCTCCGCACCTACTGATCCTGTCCGTTTTTTTTGACGGTCCATCCCGTTGTTGCGTCTTTGCACCAACTGCGGACCCTCGTCCCTGCCCCTTTCTCATGGGTGGACGGTCACTACGCCCAGTGTCGCGAGACACTGGACGAGGGGCACTACACTCGTAAGCGTAGTGTCCTGTCTTTTAACATCTGTTGCATCTCTGTAACTTCTTGTAGCCTGTAGAGCGAGCCTTCTCGCTCTCTACATAACAGAGTTCCATCGGCTCTGGACCTCCGGTGTCATATCGTCTCGGTTGACGATATGATGTTGAGCTGGCGCGAGCCTGTCTCAGACTGAAGTCTTCCTGCTCCGCAATGGAAATGGCTTGTTCTAGTGAATCTAGTTCAAGCCGGAACAGGTGAGTCTTGACGGGACCATCCGCAAGACCCTGCATGAACACCGAAACCAACGTGTGTTCATCCACCGGATTGGAACTTATACAACTCGTGAGATGTCGTATATGTTGAGCGTAAGCGTGCACATCACGCTTACCCTGCTTGAGCTTCAAGAGTTCGGTTCGAGTCCTGAACTCAGCTCTAGGCGGTTCAAACGTTTGTCTTAGCCGCGACTTGAAGACTTCCAACGACCCAAACGCATATGGGTCGTGCAACTTGAGCCCCAGTGCCCAAGTCTTGGCACGTCCTGCCAGATTTGACTGGGCAAATGCAACTTGCATATCCCCGTCGTCGATGCGACGCGCCCTTATGGCGTCATCCAATTCGACGAACCATCTCAAGAGGGAGTCTTCTTCGACCCCCCTATACTTGGAGATGTCAATCTTCAAAGTCTCGGGTCGACGCGAGTGCATCGACCCACCAGCAGCAGCCTGCTGCTGTCTCAACAGTTCAAACTGTTGAGCACCTTGTTCTCTCAACAACTCTGCTTGTTGAGAACCTTGTTGGTGAAGCAAGGCTACTTTCTCACGTTCAGCGTCAAGTTCATTTTGAATGAACTTGGCGATAGTAGCATGTTGGGCATCTCTATTGAGAGCCTCTAGCATGACGCTAACAGCATGGATGCCCATGGTCGAACCCATTCGTTCAACCGCATCCCATTCGACATCGCTCAAATGGGAGTAGCCGTCACGCGTAGCGTGAAAGCTTTGGTCATCTTCATCATCCAACATATTCATGTTAGATGTGAACGCGGTCCTTGGACGGACTACGAAGTGCTACCAGGTGTAACGGGGCACCCTGAAGCTTGTACTGGTGACAGTACAAGCTACTTATTCTGATGACAGAATAAGGCGGTGCCTCGTAACTTCACGTACACTCGTACGTGCAGAGGAAGACGGTAAGAAGAAGCGAGTACTTGGTTAGAGTAAAAAGTAGAACTGTATTTATAATAGTTAATGTCTGCAATACATCACTATTTATCTTCATCTAACTATGTCTAAATACAAATGTGCATATCAACTATCTGCTCACTACTCATTGCGTGCGTCTGTCGTGGCGCGTCTTCGTTGGTTGATATAATGGCCTATATCAACCAATTAGGAACTACTCGTAAGTGCTACAGAATATTTGTCCTTATGACAATATTCTGAGAATATAACTCTTATAGTTATACTCTATTAACAATTTCTTATAAATTGTTATGTAACGATTCACCCCGTTACATTGCATGGCTTCCAACTTGCTTACCTAAGACTTCAGCAACAATACGAACCGAGCACGGCTCTCGCAACACACGAATGTGGCGGCGTAATGGGGTCTGATGTGACTCATTGAAGCGTCATGTGCGAGTACTTTCACCGTGTTGTGAGCTCCACTATGCACTTGCACCTCGACACAGCATCGAACGTTTGATACGTTGGACAAGCTCAAGATCGCCGCATGTTGCTTTGATGCTTGGAGGCCTAGTGACGACACATCCACCACCACATGAGATGTCATCTCGCATCGCAGCAACTGGCGCTGTAAGTCCTCGCACAATTCAATCAGTCTTACGTCTCCGCTTTCTATCCGTTTCCAATGTGTTGTCAAGTGGAAATCTTGCGCTGCGTTTGTTTGCCCCTCCACACGCGCACACTTGTTATGGTGTCATAGAGAGCAGCTAAATAGACCTTGCACACAGCTACCGACGCGATGAAAACAGGAACAACAAGTCAGGAAATGATCATATCGAGTTTGTGTGCACTGACATCCATTTACACTCATCAAAACTACATGTAAAACTACGACGGTACCCCAATCAAAAGCACACCACGTCTGTCAGACTCGAGGCAGTATTTGTCTTGGGCCGTGCTAAGGTGATCTCAGCTGCTTCAAGCGTCCCGTGAGCTGTCCATGGTAAAATGCGAACCACAAGCTTGTGCTTATAACTCTCAGGCAAGGACTATGAACCGTTTACGCGAGCAAGCGATGGAGGCCACCGGTCTGCACGGTCGTCTGCAGAGTCTACTGGGCGTACACGTCTTTCGGAACAGCTCCGCCGGTACTGTACCCGTTGGCAGCGTTGCTGCTTGCCTCCGCATTCGCTCCAACTCCTCGGTTTACACCGGGACCTGCGTTCGAACGGGTGCCTGCAGTGGCTGCCGCAGTGGCAGGTACACCAGCTCCACCATTACCGACGTTGGCACCAGCACTGGCAGTCGCACCGCTGTTAGCAGGTGAACCGTAGTTGTTCAGCTTCGCTGCTGCACCTCCATATCCACGCTGGTTGCGGTTGCCGTCCGAGTTTTAGTCATCGCGACTGTCGATGTCGTCGTTCCTGCGGCCATACTGATTGCTATAACCTCTCCTTCCATCGCCGGAGCTGTCACTGTCGTCGTCGTCATCGTAGACGGACCGCCGGCCATATCTGTGACTGTGATCATGTCGGTGGTATCGATGGCGCAGGTGTCCCGACGTCTGCGCAGCTGCCGTCGACGCATCCACAGTGTTGCTCGAGAATGCCAAAGCAGCCACGCCTAGCACACCGATCATGTTGCTGAGTTTCATCTTGGTTGTGGAGGTGTCTGTGTTGGGTTGGGTACGTTGTACGACCGAAGTTGGAAAATGAGGTCACATGTGAGGGTCTGAGCGCTGTGAGTGTACCCGACCACGTTTCGATGCCGACCCTCTCTCGTGACGAAGAGAGCGTTGCAAACGATGAAGGCTAGACTACAGATGAGAATTGTCGAGATAGAGACGAAGGTTGCGGTCACGCAATACGCAATCGTTGCGGCGACTGCCAAAAATGCAGGACAAAGCACAGATAGAAGGTCACCAGATGGCTCGGAAGGAGAGGCAACGACTGTCAGCTCGAGCAGGTTGACAGCCAACAGATTATCGCTCAGAGCGGGGCGGGGTAGATATGGCGTGACTAGCATCTTCTGATGCATTTTTAGCCAACTGTCCGAGCTGTAGCACATACAGAGTCCTGGCAAAGCGTAGATGTTCATTCTCCGCAACGCTCATTCGACTTGCTCCATTCACCACGTGGTGAAGCACCAATCGGGGTAGAGTGCTGTATTTCGGCAATCATCAGCCAAGCTGTTTGTCAGAAGCTGATTATTACACATTTGGGAGGGTGGTCATCATGGCGTGTGGCAACAGATGCGCGGTGTCAGTAGTTTGTAGAGATACAAACGTTTGCAGCAGCAGTAAACAGACCGAGCGAGCGCATGTTGCTATGTTCTTTGTTTTTGTTTGTCTAGTTTTGATTTGTTTTGTATTGTATGGTGAGGTACATCAAGCTGCTTCGGGAGATCTCGAATCGCCGAATGTGCTGCGCTGCCTTTTACGCCAGGTGAGGTTTGAAAACCGGTGCGGTCAACAGCTGCGGGTGACAGCAGCTGGTCAGGGTTGTACCAACTGCCATGCGAGTTGTCGCGGATAACTCGTTCCATCGAACATGGCACAGTCCACTGCGGTAATTCGTTGCGCCGCCTAATATGTGCATGTTCATTGCTGGACGTCGTTGATGCGGAAACGTGTGAGATCTGAAAGGATTGATCTGCCGTCCGCGGCACTCGTCGATACGAAACGACTCGAGTGTATTGGATGTTGGCGGCTCAATGCACCATCTTGTTGTGCTCCCGGTTGTGATGTGTCCAGCCCAGTTCGTCAGAGACGTCCGCATATCGTCTAGCGATGTTTTGTAGTTGCCGAGGCCTCAGTTGGTCGGGTAGATAGTGTTGTCGCTGTTGGCATGATCATAAAGCTGCCCATGGAATCACGTGCAGTGGAGTGCACCACACGTGATTTTATGGGCGGCTTTATAGCACAGGGTCCGACGTTCGGCAAATGTCGTGGATGGTGTCCCCGTATTCGGCCGTGTCGTTAGTTGTGGTGACACGGCTTTACGACGCCTTACAAACCTCACATGCGTCGATTTCGGTATCTAGCCGCACTAGCGCAGATCTATTCCCTCCAGGTCTTGCATTCCCCGTGACCTACCACGTGAACAAAAGCAAGTAGACTCTTTTGCGCTGATGATGAACGTAAACACTTTTCAGCACGCTCGATCCGTACTTTCATCAACTTCTATTGCCTGTATCAACAGAATACGAAGCCGTGGTATTCGTGCGCCCGCGAAGTCACGGACGATTTGCCGGAGATGCGTGACTCCGCGTACAACAGTTCCATCAGTGATCGCTTGCAGCGTGGCTGAGGTTGAGACATCCTCCTCAGGCCGAAGCCGAGCACGAGCACAACATACTGCGGTTCGTAGGTCGTCTGTAACAGGGCACCCTGAAGCTTGTACTGGTGACAGTACAAGCTACTTATTCTGATAACAGAATAAGGCGGTGCCTCGTAACTTCACGTACACTCGTACGTGCAGAGGAAGACGGTAAGAAGAAGCGAGTACTCGGTTAGAGTAAAAAGTAGAACTGTATTTATAATAGTTAATGTCTGCAATAAATCACTATTTATCTTCATCTAACTATGTCTAAATACAAATGTGTAAATCAGTTATCTGCTCACCACTCATTGCGTGCGTCTGTCGTGGCGCGTCTTCGTTGGTTGATATAATGGCCTATATCAACCAATTAGGAACTACTTGTAAGTGCTACAGAATATTTGTCCTTATGACAATATTCTGAGAATATAACTCTTCTAGTTTTATTCTAATAACAATTTCTTATAAATTGTTATGTAACGATTCACCCCGTTACATCACCCCCCCTTAACCATCAGTCACTTTAGTGACTGATTGACTAAATGGATACTCGTCCCAAATCATTTGGGACAGGGTTTGCACTTGTTGGTCCGCGTCCACTTTCCAACATCTCATCGCATGGTAAACAAGCCCATGCGATGCGCGAGCAAGGCCGCCGAGAGCGCGTCTGCACGTCTCTGTGCGGACGCCGAAGCAGAAACAACAGCAACTGATGTTCCATCGGTTGCTGAAGCGACTCAGCCTGTGTCACTTGGTGACGCAGGCGCTGGTCATGAAGACACTCGTGTCTTCACAGAGTACGAGCTCGGTGTCTCGTACTCTCCTGATACGGATGACGGATCCGTATCGACGGCGATTGAATTTAAGCCGCCTGCCAAGCGTGGCATGGACGATGCTTTGCGTCGCAGCATCTTTTGTTCATCTGATGAATCATATGAACCATCGCCGAAGCGAAGGCGCTCGAGGTCGCGAGAGTCGGGCGCTCACAGTGGTTTCGGTTCTCCTATGGACACCACTTCACAGCGAGGTGCCAGTCCTTCTGTCGGCACATCGCAGGATGAGCGGGATCGCAATGTCTTGCGTCTCGCTCCCGAGAAGAAGGCATGGATGCCTCCTTAATCTGTCATGGATCACTTGTGCGCGACGTCGAGTGATCGCTATCGAACACGATTGTTCGATTCATCAAGGATCCACCACCTTCACCCCAGTGCGAAAAACTATCGCACTGAACATGATTTCTTCATCGATGCTTTCTTTAGACATCGATGGTACAGTGGGAATCACAAACGTGATGGTCCCTCACTGCTTCAGGCGTGGAACGCCTACATCCATAACCTTGAGGATGTAGGTCGTGACGTTTGGAACGACAAACTTATCAAAGCTCGTGATAAGTTTGAAAAGCGAACCCCGACAGGTGCACGCTACAAGCTGCATCGTCTGTCAAGGGAGAAAGGATTACCCTGCCTCTCTTGGGGAGACTCGTGCCCTTGTTGTGTGAACAACTCTGCGCGCGCACCTAAGGAGGCTTACCTCCTTACTAGCCCGTGGTGGCGCGTACGTATCTCTACTGAGATGTACGAAGGGATTGACAACCTGAAATCCCTTTACGACCGTGCCGGGAAGACTTTCTCCGGCGGTCCTTCTGCGGCACAGGATGTGCCGCGTCGTACTGCTCAACCAGACCCAGTACGTCGATCATCAGTTGGGAGCGGGGCTCCCAAGAATCCCAGGACGGGGGATAGCCGCGCCACCGGACGAGATAACTCGTCCGACGTCCGTTCACGTCGCGGTGGTTCAACAGCTGCTCAACTAGATAGCGCTGGCCACCGCGAGAGTCCTCTAATGGAGGTGGAGGAGGAGGAAAGACGCTCTCCACACGATCATGTGGATCGGTGTGTTCCTAGAGAGCTTCTTTGATCGCGTAACGCAAGGGTTACGCGACGATCTCGAACATGAGCGGAATAGGCGTCTCCAAATGGCGGACACTGCCTCGAAGCATCGAGCTGAGTTTGCCTTTGCTCAGCTCGAGAACGAGAGATCTCTGACATCTCTTCGTGACGAGCTAAGGGTAGCTCGTGGGATTGTTGATCGGTCTCGGGCTGAGACAGCTGCTCTTCAGACCCTTGTTGATGCCCACCATCGGGAGCACAAGGCTCTTTGCGAGATGCTTGAGCGCAAGGGCGTTCTTCATCGGAAGAAGCAGCGTACTGATGGTACGGCTTAAGCCGACCAACGTAAAACGTGGGATGCGTTCGCATCTTACGTGGTAACTCGATCGTGTATGCATTGCCTAGGCGGTGCAATACACGAAATGGGCCAATGTACTTGGGTAGTAGTTTACTGCTACCCAAGTTAGTCACTACATGCTTTGGTAGATTAACCGTAGACAGTAGGACTAAGTCACCTTTACTAAATAAAAGAGTGTTTGCCCTTCCATTCTTGTCAGCGTTTTGCTTTTGCTTATCCACCGCTTCGGCGATGGAGTCTTGCACAAAACGGACTACTGTTTCACGAGCCAGTATGAACTCATCTGATGACTCGTTAGCTTCAGTGTGCTGTGAGCGCACTGCAGCAACATCAACCTTTTCTTCAGTGAGGGCTTCCGCACTCTCACTGGGATCATCTTCTTCAGTGAGGGCTTCCGCACTCTCACTGGCATCATCTTCTTCGATATCGATGTTATCGATATCGGCATCAAACGCAATGACTTCTTCGTCAGAGCGTGATGAGCGTGAACCAAATCGGTTTTTGCTCGCGCGAGTCCCTCCCCCCCTTAAACCAGAGGTACACTCTAGTAAGATGGGTACACGCGGATGGCGCAAGCCATTCACGTAAAACGGTGTATGTGTCGTGGACGCATGCACCGAGTTGTTGATGGCAAACTCTACCATAGGCAAAAACTCACTCCAACTCTTAAAGGAGTGTACGTATCCTCGAAGTATCTCCTCAAGGACACGATTGGCACGTTCCGTCTGACCATCTGACTCTGGATGATCAGATGTTGACATCTTCAAGCGCGTTCCGAGTGATTTGAACACGGAACGCCAGAAATCAGCAGTGAATCGTGGATCTCTGTCTGATACGAGTTCACGGGGCAACCCATGAAGTCGGAAGATGGTGTCAATAAAGACACAAGCACAGCCACTTGCCGTGATTGTCTCTGGTACAGCCACAAGGTGTACCATTTTGCTGAATCTGTCAACAAATACGAGAATACCCGTATTCCCGCGTGCGTCTTTGGGTAACCCAAAGACGAAATCCATTGAGATGGATTCCCAGCACTCAGCCGGAACCGGTAGAGGCTGTAAAGGTGCACGCAGTGAAGGACTTAACTTCACTCGTTGACAGACTTCGCATGCGCGAACATACTTTCGCACAAACTGATACTGGCGGGGCCAGTAAAAGTCTCGACTTACCGTGAGATATGTTTTCTCTCGGCCACGATGTCCTCCTATAGGAGCATCGTGATACTCGAACATGATCCGCAAACGCAGATCAGTATCATCTGGAATGACAACACGTGGTGTGTCACCAGAAACGGCTGTATAATACAGTAAACCGTTACGAGTAGTGTATCGATCTGATGCAGATCGATACGCAGACGACAATCGTTTCAACGATTCTCGAGATGGTTGGGAGAGATGTGTCAACAACTTCACTATCTCACCATCTTGGGCGTATGCCCGCCTCACATCATCATACAACGTTGTAGATGGGACTGAGGACGTCATAACCGCAACAGTGACTGTCTCACTGTTGGATTTCACGACTGGTTCAAAGTCGGGACGACGTGAGAGTGCATCAGCGACGACATTAAGTCGTCCTGGTTTGTACTCGACCGTAAAGTTGTATTCCGCAAAGAATGACAACCACCGCGCCATTCGTTGTGAAAGGTGCGGGCTGTTTACTGCCGTGCGTAATGAAGCATGGTCAGTGTAAACAACGAAGGGTCTATCTCCTAATAGATAGACTCTGAACTTCGCGAGTGCATACTTCATGGCAAGGAGTTCCTTGTCATGCACTGGATAGTTCCGCTCAGCTGGTTGCAGCTGACGCGACTGATAGCAGACGACGCGTTCAACGCCTTCAAGATCGTACTGCATTAATGCACAGCAGATTGCGAAATCGCTGGCATCACAGACCACATGAAATGGCCTGTCCTGATCGGCTATTGCTAGGACTGGGGATTGTATCAAGCTCTGCTTGATACCATCAAAGGAGCGTTGACATTCAGCGTTCCATAACCACCTCTCGTTCTTTTTCAACAAACGAGAGAGGTGCACAGTCATTTCGGCGTAATTGCGTGGATACTTATGCAAATACGCCGCTAGCCCAAGGAATTTTCGAAGACCTTTGACATCAACCGGCACAGGCCAGTCGGTGATCGCCTTGATCTTTTCGGGATCAGGACGTACACCGTTCTTACCAACGATGCACCCAAGAAGTGGTATCTCGCTTGCGGCAAATATACACTTCTTGAGGTTTGCATACAATTGATGCTTTCGCATGATTGTAAGAACCTGTCGGACGTGGTACCTGTGAACCTCAACGTCCGACTTTCCATCCATAGCTCGACTATGGATGAATACGTCATCGAAATAACTCGGCGCGAATTCTCGTACTGGTCTCAACAGATGTGATACACATCTGTTGAACGTGGCAGGGGCATTACTGAGCCCTTGTGGCATTACTAGCCATTCCCAGAGCATGCCGCTAGGCGTGATAACTGCGGTATAGGGTATATCCCGTTCCCGCATAAGAATTTGATAGAAGCCATCCATCAAATCCATGGACGAAAATATGGTACTCTTTGACATACCATCAATGATTACGTCCTTCCTCGGTATCGGCGTCTGAGCCGGTACCGTTGCAGCGTTCAATTTGTTGAACGCGTGCACTATCCGCCACCCTCCTGTTGCTTTTCGCACACAGAAGGTCGGAGAGCTATGTGGGGAAGTTGATTCCCTCACATGGCCCGCAGCTAAACGATCGGCAAAGAACTTGTCGATTAGCAAGTGCTTGTTCACGAGGCAGTGGCCACTGCCTCATGACATAGTACTTCGAGCCTGGTTAAAGCTCGACCTCGTGTCGAATACCTTTATCCTTCGGTAATTCGCACGGAACAGTTTCAGGGAATACATCCTTGAATTCAACCAAATCTTCATAGAGAGGATTTGTCTTGAGCGATTCCCATGATTGGGAGTCATATCGCTCAACTCGTGTCTTTTCATCTAGGACACTCTCGTCCATAGATGAACTACTGAGAACTCTCTCGTTCTCAGTGAACACTGTTGCTGACCTTATGTCGGTTACACACTCGTCGTCAGCGACGAGTATGCAGATCTGCTTGACTTTGCCACTACGCAGATCACGCAAGAACCTTTATGTTCGAGCGTTGGCAACTGAGTGATCTCCGAAGTTAACTTCGGAGGCGCAATCAGATCAAGTGTATAAGCGCCTACACTTGATCCGTTATTGACTATGACATTCAATGTCTCTGTCATTTCCTGGGGACTTATTCCCTCAGGCTTCGAAGGACTTATTCCTTCGTCTTCCCGGGGACTTATTCCCGCGGGTTTCGGGGAACTTATTTCCACCGTATTTGTAATCTTGGGACTTATTCCCTTTACTTCCTCTAGCTGGGGTTGCGCAACCACAGCGAGATCCTCTACGAAAGACTCTCCAGTCGATCTAGGATTATCGTTTCGCTTAACCTGAGCGATCGATTGTTTCTCTTCTAGATGTTCCCCGCTAGGGATACATCTTTGTCCCAGTCCACCCGACTTATTCGAGTGGTGGACCTTCGGCGCAGCCTGTGTTTCCTCACAGCCGCCGGAACTTTGCTCCGAAGTGTAACCGTTTGGTACACTAAGGTTTTGTGCAGTCGTACTAACGACCGTACCACAAGTGAGGCCATCGCACTCACTCGTAGTACATCCACACGCTTGTGGACGCTCCAAAACGTTCATCAGATGGCCATCTGATGAACAAGCGGCAGGCATCGTTACTGTCCGATGTTGCCAGTTTACCCGTGGTTCGTACCTTCTGAGCCACGGTATTCCAAGGATGACATCAAATTTGTCATCCAAATCCAATACGATAAAGTCATTGTCATATTGGGTATCTTCTAGCGTATAGTGGATCTTCACTATACGCTTCATGACGGTTACGGATGCGCCTGTCGTAAGACGTACCGTCATCCTCGTAGGAGGTGTGTCACATTCACTGAACTTAAAGTACCATCTTCTAGCGATTGGCGTCGCACAAAATTGTTGGACGCCCCACAATCGACTAGAGCTCGAAGGGACAACTTATTCGTCACTTCGAGTTTCAAGGTAATGAGTGAGTCCTCATTGCCTAGAGCAGCAACGCACAACGTTTTTGCGTTGGGAGCAACCTTCATCAAGAGGCCTACAAATTCTCTTGACGTTGCTGGATCAGTAGGGTGCTCCGCACCTACTGATCCTGTCCGTTTTTTGACGGTCCATCCCGTTGTTGCGTCTTTGCACCAACTGCGGACCCTCGTCCCTGCCCCTTTCTCATGGGTGGACGGTCACTACGCCCAGTGTCGCGAGACACTGGACGAGGGGCACTACACTCGTAAGCGTAGTGTCCTGTCTTTTGACATCTGTTGCATCTCTGCAACTTCTTGTAGCCTGTAGAGCGAGCCTTCTCGCTCTCTACATAACAGAGTTCCATCAGCTCTGGACCTCCGCTGTCATATCGTCTCGGTTGACGATATGATGTCGAGCTGGCGCGAGCCTGTCTCAGACTGAAGTCTTCCTGCTCCGCAATGGAAATGGCTTGTTCTAGTGAATCTAGTTCAAGCCGGAACAGGTGAGTCTTGACGGGACCATCCGCAAGACCCTGCATGAACACCGAAACCAACGTGTGTTCATCCACCGGATTGGAACTTATACAACTCGTAAGATGTCGTATATGTTGGGCGTAAGCGTGCACATCACGCTTACCCTGTTTGAGCTTCAAGAGTTCGGTTCGAGCCCTGAACTCAGCTCTAGGCGGTTCAAACGTTTGTCTGAGCCGCGACTTGAAGACTTCCAACGACCCAAACGCATATGGGTCGTGCAACTTGAGCCCCAGTGCCCAAGTCTTGGCACGTCCTGCCAGATTTGACTGGGCAAATGCAACTTGCATATCCCCGTCGTCGATGCGACGCGCCCTTATGGCGTCATCCAATTCGACGAACCATCTCAAGAGGGAGTCTTCTTCGACCCCCTATACTTGGAGATGTCAATCTTCAAAGTCTCGGGTCGACGCGAGTGCATCGACCCACCAGCAGCAGCCTGCTGCTGTCTCAACAGTTCAAACTGTTGAGCACCTTGTTCTCTCAACAACTCTGCTTGTTGAGAACCTTGTTGGTGAAGCAAGGCTACTTTCTCACGTTCAGCGTCAAGTTCATTTTGAATGAACTTGGCGATAGTAGCATGTTGGGCATCTCTATTGAGAGCCTCTAGCATGACGCTAACAGCATGGATGCCCATGGTCGAACCCATTCGTTCAACCGCATCCCATTCGACATCGCTCAAATGGGAGTAGCCGTCACGCGTAGCGTGAAAGCTTTGGTCATCTTCATCATCCAACATATTCATGTTGGATGTGAACGCGGTCCTTGGACGGACTACGAAGTGCTACCAGGTGTAACGGGGCACCCTGAAGCTTGTACTGGTGACAGTACAAGCTACTTATTCTGATAACAGAATAAGGCGGTGCCTCGTAACTTCACGTACACTCGTACGTGCAGAGGAAGACGGTAAGAAGAAGCGAGTACTCGGTTAGAGTAAAAAGTAGAACTGTATTTATAATAGTTAATGTCTGCAATAAATCACTATTTATCTTCATCTAACTATGTCTAAATACAAATGTGTAAATCAGTTATCTGCTCACCACTCATTGCGTGCGTCTGTCGTGGCGCGTCTTCGTTGGTTGATATAATGGCCTATATCAACCAATTAGGAACTACTTGTAAGTGCTACAGAATATTGTCCTTATGACAATATTCTGAGAATATAACTCTTCTAGTTTTATTCTATTAACAATTTCTTATAAATTGTTATGTAACGATTCACCCCGTTACATCGTCGCTTTGAGCCTCCACATCGTCCTGGCCGTATCGTGGACTGAATCTTACAACCAATTTTCGTCTTTTGATGCTACCCGGAGCATCTTGAGTAATGGGCTCACTGGCCTGTCGCGCCCGGTACCTCGAGACTGAAGCACGTTAGCTGTAGGGCGTCCTGTAAATTAAACAGTGCGCTTCCAATACGATTTAGAAGTTCTGATCATTCACAGCAGGTACCGGATATTTCCAGAAGATGTGCTGCATTAATATCGTTGTGGAGAAATCGCAAGTTTGGTGCGGGCAGGACCTCTTGTCATACACCATGCTTCAGAGATAGATCTTATTAGCTTGATCCTGAACAACGTCTGCGACATATGCACTGACGTGCTGTGTAATCGGTGGATGTCCCGCCAATCGGGCAGATTGGTCGCGTCTTGACTTAAGATTTTTTGGGTAGGTGAGGTATATTGAGGTACGATTACCTAGAATATCCGATCACTGGCAGTCTACAGAATAGGGTGCATTAGCGTGAGTTAGACACTTGTTATTCCCTACACGGTAAGGTTCGTCTACTAAAAAACAGGTGCGGATTGTAACGGGTCACCGGAGCAACACACTCGACAACCAGTGGAGAGCTACTATCACTGATAGCAGCGTGAGTGATGCCTCGCTACCTCTGTAAACAACGCAAAGGAAAAGATAGCAACCAGGAAATTGACTAGTTGCTCGTAAAAGTAAAATTAAGTTAATTATAAGTAAGTTCTACTAAATAACATATGTTTTAGTCTTATCTTGATTGTATTGATCTGCAAAAAAAAGCGTAATGTCTTGCTCACCACTTACTGTGCGCATCTACTGTAGCGGAGCTACAAAGCTCCTTAAATCAGAGGAAGACTTAACGCTCAATGAGCAAGTTGGTTTTAAAGAACTAGACTGAAGGAGTCAACAAGCGTAAAGCTTATGGTCTTTGTTCCAGGGGACCAAACGATTCAATGAATCGACATCACTTAGTTCTCAAGAGTAACTTGCTACCTCAGGGAGGTGTTGCTAACTCTATTTGATCAGTGGTCAACAACCAAAGACGCCTCGCAAGGCACATTTCTTTAAGATCAAAAGGGGGGCTGATATTTATTTACATTTACACCTGTAGAATATCTTAATCCTAATCTAGACACTTATGTCCTAAGTTTGTACAACTAAGATCTCTCCTATCTGGTGACTGACACGAGTCAGTCCTTATGAACCTTTCAGATATTCCATATCTCTTTCAGTGGTATATCATCCGTGTGTCTAAAACTCAGGGTTTCAGGTTTCCAACTGCGTGTAACCCCTTTACCTCATCCCTCATCGGACTGACGCTTCCCAAAACGTCAATTGAATGTTATTTTTAATCGAACGTTCCCATCCAACTTTGTTCTTCTACGAGATCAGCGCACTTGCGGTCATTACGACAACGTAAAGCTAGAGCACGATGTCCTCGTCACGTAACGAGTCATAGCCTCTCAGTATTTACCTTGAAACGGGGAGGTTTTGGACTATGATAGCGATACCAGTGTCTCGGGTGATGCAGAGACAATTTCCGATACACCAATGTCCGAGGTACAACCTCGTCTTGCCCCTTGTCCGTTCCCTGAACGTGATGATGAGACTTCGTTGTTGGCGCCGCGCTCAATCCCCGTTTTGGATGACAACCTCATCACCACTCGCTCGATGAGCAACAACAGAAAATCCTTCAACAAGGAGAAAGCAATCGGTGCCATGCGCAAATGCTCGCAACCCTCGAGCACCAACGTGATTGTGTGTTCCCTTCACCCAGTGTGGAGGAGCGCTTATGCCAAGCAGTCGGCCAATCGTTGTCAACGTGGATCATTGGCCATAGGCCTAAGTCTCCTGAGGAGGTGACGAGCGGACAGGCACTTCGCGAGAGGTACCTAAAACCTCACCTAACGATCCAAGGTCAATACAAGGATCGCCTTGATATGCAAGCACGTGGTGCACCGGTCCCACCGTTCAAGGGCACACCCGTTCTCTTAGTTTCAGGCGAAACAGAGGGCGGAGAAGACAATGACTTTTTCCTCTGGGCGCACCGTATACGTCGCCTCAGCAGTATGTATGCTTTAAGAGCTAGTGCCAATGTGGCTGATGTGCGTCTCGAACGCAAGCTTCGGTATGGCTATGCCAAGCTTAAGGCCAGAGGCCAGTTGGGTAATCCCACGCAATATGCTTTGGCTACTACGGTAGCCGCGAGTGCTGGTCAAAATATGACCACCAACCCGCCAAACCACACCACTAGTGGTGGAAATCGGCCTCGATGTTAAGATGACCATGGCCACGATGTTAAAAAAAGTTCAAAGCATAAGAGCAATTTTGCCTTAGGGGCACCTCGTATTCCCTTGAGTTCTCAGACTCAGGGTGCCCACGCCACTTTACCGGATACTGGTAGTGGCCATGACGAAAAATTAGTTTCAGTAGTCTCTCGATATGAAAGTGACGACGCCCATGATCATCTATCAGCGTCGGTGGTGGCCGGTGTACCGGTGGCAGTCGAAGTGAAGGGTCTTTAAGAGACCCTGAGTAACTCCCAGTGCATGCTGGATGCGATGTAGATCCGCCTTCATGCGATTGAGCATTCTCAAACTCGGAGCGAGGCTCAGTTGGAATTGCTGATTCGCCTGCATCAATCCGGGTACCGCCCTCGTCGTCGGCGCAAGCGCCTCCAAGTTCACGTGGGAAGGATCACGGTACGGCTTAAGTAAGCCTACGTAGAACACTGGATGTGTGCGCAATTTGCGCGGGAGGTTTAGCGTATATGCAAGGCCCTTCTTGGCCGTGACCGTAAACGGTTCAATAAAGCGTGGACGCAACTTTGTCTTGAATGCAGCAGACACTACATTTGTAGGTAGGTTTTTAGCATTGAGTCGTACTTGGTCACCGACCTCATAACGTTTAATACAATTTCTGCCTTTGGCATCAGCTTGTTGTTATTAGGTATCTTGGCTATCAGCCATTGCATCACGCACATGTCTTAAGACATTTAAACGCGTTGCGAGAAACTCGCCTACCTGTTTTTGAACAGTAGCAGGACTGATATCAGCAAGCCGATCTACAACCTCTCCCCCACCAAGCCGTGATTCACGTAGTGATAGCGCTAACGGAACGCGAGGGTGGGTGAGACCGGTTACGTAAGCGGAGTAAAGCCTGTGGAGGCATGGACAGCGTTGTTCAATGCAAATTCAACAACAGGGAGCATTGAGCTCCAACGCCTAGGCATATCAGCGCAAATACTGCACAAAATGTCATTGATGACGCGGTTAACACGCTCAGTTTGACCGTCGGTCTGCGGATGATCCGCTGTGGACATGACCAACCGAGTGCCAAGCACCTTGAAGATAGACTTCCAAAAATTCCCAGTGAAGCGGGGGTCTCTATCAGAGTAATTGCCATCGGCAAGACATGTTGGCGAAACACACGGTCGATAAACAGCTTCGCTGTACCTTTAGCATCGATGCTATCCGGAACAGCCGCTAAGTAAGCCATCTTGCTCAATCGGTCAACAAAGACCACAATACCAGTGTTGCCTTCCGAATCTTTCGGTAGGCCAAAAACAAAATCCATGCTCATGGGAACCCAACAGACAGTGGGTACTGGCAAACTAGCCAGCGGCGCTGCCGCATGTGCCGAGATTTTAACCCGTTGACACGTTTTCGCACATACGCACATAGGTGTGCACCCACTTATAAAGGGTAATCCACCAATAACTTTGGCTCACCGAGCTATAAGTCTTCTCACGACCGAGATGACCACTTAAAGCAGTACCATGTGCCTCATAGAGGATTCGATACTTTAGCTTCTCATCATGAGGGACAGCAATACGAGAGGTATCCTCAATATTCATGCGATAGCTCAACAGGTCATTATCGTAGAATATTGATGTAGCCTTGCACGTAAACGTGCCAACAAGTCTTTGTCCGAGACTTTAAACTCCTCGCTCCTAAGAGCACGTAGTAAAGCTACACACTGATCATCCTTGGCATATGACGCACGAATTAAGTCAGGGACTGACGACGACAGAGTCGTAACATGAGCAAGCTCATAGTCAGGTCGACGCGATAGCGCATCAGCCAAAGCATTTTGCTCACCTGGCTTGTACTTCAACTCGAAGTTATATTCGGCAAAGAAGGAAAGCCAACGAGCCATTCTCGGAGAGAGATGTGGCGACTGTGTCGCAGTGCGTAATGACGCATGACCTCTATAGATCACATATGGCTTTGAGCCAAGCAGATGTACTCTGAATTTGACTGGAGCATATTTCTTAGCAAGAAAGTCTTTTTCAAGAACTGGGTAGTTCTTTTCAGCAGCTTTCAGCTGGCGAGAATCGAACGCAATGACGCGCTCGCGTCCATCAACATGTGTTTGTAACCGAGCACTGCCAATGGCAAAGTCAGATGCGTCACAGACGACACTGAAAGGCCGACTAGAATCGGGCAAAGCCAATATTGGCGCATGAAGGAGACTTTCCTTAACTGCTAT